GTCTGAGAGGGAGTTTGGGCGGATGGGGTTGTGACCTGGGGCAGGGCCTGGGAGGGCGTGTGGGAGCAGGAGAGGATTCTGGCCAGTGGGTGCAGGGTATGGGAGGGAGTTGGGGTGTAGGAAGCAGTGGGGTGCCAGAGGCGGGCTCTCTGGGGGGGGAGAGGGGAGGCTTTGTGTGCTGCCCCTGCCACAGCACAATCTCTCAGCTTGTATTAACTAGCCAATAGGAGCTGAGAGATTGTGCTGGGAGCAGGGGCAGCATGCAAAGCCTTCCCCTTGAGTGGTGCAGAGCACCCCAGGGAGCAGCCAGCTGCTTTGAGCAGTGTGCAGCTGCTCCGTATTGCAGGGGCAGGCTGTGGGCCAGATTAAAAGGCTTGGAGGGCCAGCTCTTGCTCACCCCCACCATAGTCAGTTTCCTTTTTTTCTGCTTGGTGTTCCCAGCTGGGAAGGGGCAGTTTTCCCTGCAGGGTTGGGAGATGCTGCCTAGCTAAGGGTTTCACTGGGACTGCAGCATGAACCCAAAGCTCCTGAAAATGGTTCCGTACTCAGATGGGGGTAGGGTGGGGGAGTAGGGGGACAGAGAGACAGAGATGGATGGATGGATGGATGGATGGATAAATCAGTGGTTTTAAATCTGCCTCAGTGATTTGGGCAGCCGTATTCCTTTAGCTCCTTGCTATTTGCAAGAGGCGATTTCTGCCCAAGCGGCCCCATGCCAGGTGGCAACTCTGTGTCTCTCAGTCTACAGCCCCTTGTCAGCCCCACTCTAAGCCAACAGGCCACAAGGCCCAGGAGTTAATGGAAGGACCCTCATTAACTGCAGTGGCCTTTGGATCAGGCCCCAAACAGGACCTGCATCCTTTCCTTAGGGCAGTGGTCACCAACCAGTAGATTGGGATCTACCGGAAGATCTTGGAGCCTCTGACAGGTGATTTTGACTGGTTTGGCCAGGAAACTCTCAAGCACTGTCACTTCAGTTGCCCCTCCAGCCACTGTCCTGCTGTTCCTGTCCTCTTGCCTTGGAGCGGCCACTGAGAAGGTCAGAGCAGGGGTTCTCCACAGGCTGACCTTGCCAGTGGACAACACTCCTGCAGCTCCCATTGATCAATGATGGAGAACTGGAGCCAGTGGGGTTGGGGCCTGTGGATGAGGGGCAGCACATGTGGCCATTGCTGAACATAACAGCTGCTTTTGGGGGTGGGGCTGCTTTGGCTCTGCTGCTCCATCCTTGGGGCAGCTGTCCATCTGCTCTCAGGGTGGGCAGGACTTAAACCCACCACTCCGTGCTCCCCAGGCAGAGCCCCTAGTCCACTTCAGAACCCCCCCACCCCACCTCCCTATCTTCAGAGGGTCCCTTTTCCTGTGTCTGGTCACTCCCAGGGTGGGTGGAGGGAGTGGCTGGACAGTCAGACCCCCCCCCCCCCGCCTCCCTATCTTCAGAGGGTCCCTTTTCCTGTGTCTGGTCACTCCCAGGGTGGGTGGAGGGGGT